AAATGCGGAAGGCGTCAGGGAAGGGAAGCGAGCACTGCCACCATCCACAGTGAGTCACATCGTCGGCCTTGCAGCCAATATCCCCCACAACCGTTCAAGCCCCCAGCCACGCACACACACGCAGACAACGGCGTCAGCCGCCACTGATCGTGTGCAGGCGTGCCCATGTGCAAACACAATGTGTGCAGTCGCTCCGCATTGTTGTCCGGCTACCCACACACCGTACGCTGCTGGTGTGATTCTGCGCCGCACCAGTCAGAAGCCACGACCTGACACATAAAATACGCCGCGGCTCCAAGAAACACGCATCTGCCCCTCAAGGTGGACCTACACTCTCCAGCTGTGAGGTGTTACCTGCCCAAAGCCCCAGTGTCCAAGTAAGGGCTTATAGCAGGGCAGTCAATGCATGGCGTACGCCCCGTGCCACCGCCCTCGTCACGAGTTGCAATGGAGCCCCGCACCCGTCCACGCAGCAGCCTCCGCCCCGCCCGGAAATGGAATGCAAACAGCACCCCAGCACCCGTGCAGAGAGAAAGGCATCCGCCTGGGGCCGAGCAAAAAAACGCCATGGGTGTCTTGCGCGGGCAGCCCGTGAGAGTAAGGCGCTGCCCAGGCAAGACACTCGTGGCAGGAGACTTGCCGGGAAGCTTCCCTCCGCCTGGTCCCCATTCAAAGCACACGACGCAACGGCATAGAGAATAGAAATGGCACCACTTGTGCAAGCACAAGCCCGCCAAAAATAAGCGCAAGAAAGAGACAAACTGCCGGGTGACAAGCACCCCCTCCCAATAGCGGCCGTCCACGCAGCCAAGACGTCAGGGGGAATCCTTCGGGTGATTGCGACGCCGACCCCGATAATCATGAAAGCGGCCCTCACATGTCGACCAGTCAGCCATCCCTCACGGTGTGTCCACGCACAAAGCACCCTACACACACACACGCGTGGTCGCATTGGAGACGCAGCGACCCTCCAGCCTGTCTTCGCCCGCGCCCGGAGCATCTCCCACACGTGTCGCGCAGGTGTCTTGGCCAGGCGCCCCTCCCCCCCGCAGAGGCATTTTTCACCCGCCGCCGTCAACCGGGTTCCGGCCCCAGAGAGGGCAGAGCCTCCGCCCCCCGCTCTCAGCTGCGCCCATGCGGTTGGACAGTCGGCCAGCCCGCCTGAGGTCCAAGCAAAAAAGCTTGTGTGATGAAGTGCTGCTTTCCAGCGCATGCCGCGGCAACCGCCGCCCACCTCTATTTGAATGCCCGCCACCCTTTTTCACCAGCGGCTTCGGTCCCAACTCAGCAGCCGCCTCCCGCACCGCAGGCTGGGAAACGTCATGGGCAGAAAATGCCACTCATCGACCCCGCCCTGCAGCCGAGTGATGGTGGGCGCAACCTCCCAACGTGGGGGCAGCTTAGTGGCTCGGGCGCCGTAAAAGCCGCGTCGTCTCCATTGCGAATTTCCCACCGTGCCCGGTAGAAGTAGCACCGGGTAAGAAGGCGCAGTGCGCACCAGACGAGTTATGGGAGTGTGTCTTCCAAAGACGGCGTTGTAGAGGCACGAGACGGTACAGATGCGGGCGAACGGGACGCGTCGTTTCATGGCATTGCCCGCTCCTGTGGCATCGACAGCGCATACGCCCTTCGGCACCGTGTTTGACACAACCCTACGATCCTACGAAACTCCAACTGTGATGAAGGTAGGAAAGATCCCATTGCCAATGTGCAGGAATATATGTTCTGCCAAACGCAACCCAATGCCAATCCACAGGGAGACCGCAGAGGGCGCCAAAGCCATGCTTCCCAAAGACGCAAGCAAAAGGACTGTGAAGGCTCCCGTTCCTCCTACCAAGCACTTGGCCGACAGCTAAGAGAGAGAATGGAAAAGAAAAATATGTACAATTCGTCTAATCGTGCAAGGCATTCGCATCGGCCGTGTTCCTTCCACAGTCCTGCGCAAATAGATTCACGAAAAAAAAGCAGTACGAACGACAAGGTGACTCACCAAGCATTTGTTGGGGCAGCTCAAAAAAAAATATAATAAAAAAAAGAGCGCCGCCAACAAAAGTTTACATGAAACTTTTTTACATCTCCACTAAGAATTACATTCAATACATTTGAGCAGGTCGCGTGTGCGGAGCCAGTGGGAGTCTACTACCATCTGCAGCGGTAAAACAAAGACATAACGCAGAGTCAAAGGCAACACACATTCCCCAAGTTACCTGAAGCGACGAGCACGGACAGTGAAAACCGAATCATCCGTCGAAAAACGCGGTTCATCCACCGTAAAATTATGCAAATCGACAGAATTACTTTGCGACACCGTCACATTGGAGTGCCTGCCACGGCTCTGCCCCCCACTCCTCCTCCCCCACGTGCCAGAGGCGGGATCATGCGCACCAGGAGCGGTCGCACTCAGCGTGAACGACATATTTTGGTCAATACCCAACTGGCCCTTCCGCTCCATCACGCTGCTCATTTTTACCGCCAGCCGATCAATCACCAGACGGCAGTACTCCTCATCCTGCACAAAGCTCGGCCTCCGCGGCAACCGAACGTTCCAACGCTCGCAAAGCGGCATCAGCGCCTTCAGCCGCTGCCGGGCGGCAAAGATACCATATGCCACCGTCAACATGGACACGACGGATTGAGCGGTGCCGGTCCGTGCGCTGTACACAGAAACATCTTCACCTTCGAAATCACTGCCGTCGTCAAGATCAGGCATCTCACGGTCAAGGCGCAGCGCGGCGAAGGTGCGTCCAGGCACGGCGTCCAGCTGGTACATCTCCACCGGCTCCGGCACACCACGCAGTGCCACGCCGCCAAGCGCAGTCACCTCCACCTGCTCACGCTCAGCCGCGCTCAGCGCAAAGTACGCTGCACGCGTCAGCAGCACCTGCCCGCCGTTCCCAACGCTCTCCGTGCGCGCGGCCATGTTCGACGTCCCGCCGTAGTAGTCGTATCCCTTCGTCACCTCGTCGCGCCGGATGTCACACAGCCCGGTGTGCACACCGACTCGCACGCGCAGGCCGTTCCAGCACTGCCGGTACACAGCATCGTCCAGGCGCGCGGTCGGCGGCACGTACTCCTCGTCCTCCCCAGCACGGCCCTCCTCGAACTTGTGGTACGCGTCGTCGATCACGCTCGTCCCCCAGTCGTGCTGCAGGAAAACCTGCTGCAGCTCCCGCACAAGCTGCACGGCGGCGAACACACTCTTGCACGCAATCATGAACGAGTCTCCGATCGTCTTCACCTCGTAGCAGCGGTACTTCGTGATCAGCGAGCGGATCAGCCGATGGTGCGTCGCCACGGCATCGGGCATCACCTCGGGGCACGCAGCCCACAGCGCTGTGCTGCTCTCGATGTCAGTGAACACAAGCGTCACGGGGTCTGTCCGCTCCTTCGGTGCGTTAGCGTTGTCACGTGAGTCGCGGCAGAAGTGCAGCAGAAACAGAATCAAGGCAATAAGCAGCAGGGCAGCAGCAACGCTGCCGACGATGACGCCAATCAGCTGCCGCGCCGTCAGTCTTCTCCCAACGGGCCTCCGGTACTCCATCGACGGCGTCACGGCATGGGACAGCACCGGCACAGCGGGGTTCAGCGCACGGGCAAGCGGCCACACAGAAATTTGCGTCGCGCCGTAGTTCCTGCCGCACTCAGCACCGCTCTCAGTAACAGGGCATGCATCGCCATCAATGAAGGATCCGTACAGCATGTCGTCCACTCTGATGACAACGTTGGAAAAAAAGAAGTTTTCAAACAGCTCAGCACTCACCTTCTCCATGCGCGAGCGGACGGCCAGCAGCAGCTGACCGGTGGCGAAGCCCATCATTGACAGCGGCGTCCGTTGATTGACGTCCGGCACAAGCGCGTTAAAAATCATGGCGGTCATCGACGTCGTTTTGTCGTCATTCCAGTGCGGCAGGCTCGTTGCAAACACAACACGGTCCGCACCCGCACCGTCACGGAACGCAGCAACAAATTCGGCGTACAGGAGTGAAAACTCGAAAAGAGTGACGAACACGCGCACACCGTCGTTTGACGCCACGTGCCGCGCGATCGCACCAACATCCCCAGCTGAAACGCCCACCAAAAACACGTCGCCCTCCTCCGGCAGGTGGTCCGCCATCTTGTCGCCGCCAGCCAGCAGCTTAGTGGACAGCAGTGAACCGCCAAACGTCTCCAGCGACAGCCGCAGCACCTCCGCCATCGTGGCTCCATCGTCGCTGCGAATCACAGCGTGCGCCGAACCGTCACTCGTGTTCCCGAGGTACCTCGCAATCACAAAGAACTGCTGCTCCAGCGTCGGCGACAGGCGAATCACGTTTTTCCTGAACCTGCTAATACGCGGCTGAAGGTACAGAGGGTTGATGAACGCCACATCCTCCACTTCCAGCATTTCCTTCGTCACCACGGCACCAACAATATCAAGCAATTTCACCTTCAGTTCTGACGCAAGCGCACCGGCAGCCCCATCCAGAGTAGTATTCACAAGCGTTAGTAAGAACTCAAAACGCTTACTAGAAGTGGTTTTTGAAAGGGCAGCTCTCACACCCACCCCAAAAACTCGAAGTGCCAGAATGGCATCGGGACTATCCGACATGAAGAAGGCAACCCCGTTCAAAGGAGGGACAATTACTTCCTCCGAGGGGATACACTGCCATATCCAGAATGAGATTGTTCCGTCAACCAGCGAGTCGGTACGGTATCCCTCCACAAACTTTTTCATGTACACGGTCCGGCCACCTTGGTTGCAGTAACACATGGCGCCCTCTGACTCAGCCACCCCTTGGCAACTGCCTCCGTAGTCGCCAATCACAAGGTTGTCGACCATATAACGGCGTTGGTTGAACAGAGAAGCCAAAAACGTATTAATGTCCTTAAGCCACTCGCGGTTGTTCAAAGCCTGTGAAAGTATCTCGCCCGCTATCCACCCTGCAACCATCATCTCGCCCGCAATATCATCGTCGGGGAAGTTCTTGCGAAGACTACTGCTTTCCGGCAAAAAATTCTCCATGTAGCTCCGCATCACCCCCTGAAAGCGCTGGATAGCGGCGTAATGAATATCCTCCGCCAGCGGGTTCGTCCCCGTCGCGATCACCTGCCCAGACACAAACTTAATACCACCAGCCACAGCAGAACGCCACGTTTCGACAGTGATGTCCTGCACCGCCGAGGGAACAAGCAGGTAAGCGCCAGCGGTGCGATTGTCCGTCAACATCCTCTGAATGAATTTCGCGGTGTCTTTTATCGGTGATCCAAACACAATCACGGCCTGCGGCATAGTATTCGCAAACGCTTCCCACGCAGCGTCGAACACTGAGTTTTCGGCCTCATGAGTCAAGGAGCTCTTCAAAGTGAAGACACCGCTCAAATTGTAGCCAAAACGCGTCATCACTTTTTTCGTTTCGTAGTACTCCTCATCACCGAAAGAAACATCCTCTAGATACATGAAGCCCAGCCGACGCACCCGTAGTTGGGCCAAGGCGTAGCGGATCAGTGCAAAAAGCTCGGCCAATGGATCAGCACGCACAAAGTACAGATGTTCGTTCCACTGCCGTACCAACGTCGACCCGGTAAATGGGGCAAATGAAACAATTTTTCGATTCGTAATGACAGGCAAATAGTACTGCAAGGTCGCATCACCAATGACATTAGCAAGAATAAAAATATCAGGATCAGCATTCAAAGCTTCTTCAATGGCCTTACCGGATTCAGCCATCGTGGTCGATTTATTGATGAGGGTCACACGTACATTCTCCCCAAAAATGTAATTACGCGACCATAATGCCGCAACAAATCCGTGGTAAAGTGATTCCGCAATGTATGTGGGCATTGGGGAATCCGTCACATTGAGGGTTAAAACCTTTACTTCAATCTCGGGGCATGCAGCCTGCCCAACTCCGCTCTGCGGGAGAAGAAGCAGCAGCAAAACGAGGTAGAGCGCATACGTGGAAAGTCGCCACCCCAAAAGTGGGATGCCACCACAACAGCCCGTTTCCTTATGCAAACCCGGCCCTTGCCGCGCCGCCGCCATCATCACCGCCCATCCCGTGACCATATTCGCCGCCCAATTATTACCGTGCTGCGTAGCCTGTTGTCTTCCTACAACATGGGGAGGAAAAAGAAAAAAAATAGAAGGGAAGCAAGGCGAGAGGAATAACACACACAATAGAGGGAGATGCGGTTCAATGGGATCGGGGTTGGTGACAGTGACGCACGTCAATGGTCTGCTACGCATTCTTCACGCCTCCATGGAAACACTCCGCCCACTCGTCCACATTGCGGCCAGAAGTTAGTCACAAAAGACAAAAGCAAGGGCACCAATTCAACAGAACGGTGGAATTCACATCAGTGGAGCTGGAACACTCTTCCCAAAGCTGAAGACAAAACAACAGAAGAGGCAGGGTAACATCCCATTTTATCTCACCGTAATGCTTCTGGCTATACACACACGCACAAAAACAAAAACAACAAAACAACAACAACAAAACACGGCTTCTGAGCCTAAATGGCAAACTTTTAAAAACGAGGCGCTTCGGTGGGATCTGCAGAATCGCTGGACCCCGCAGTAAGGTGAAAAATCCAAAGAAACGGTGGCTGTCCAAAAGCAAAAAATAGATTTGAACGCCTTCCTTCAATTAATTCAAGCACCAAA